GCAGGGACGAACTGAAGAACACAACAAAAAGAGAAATGATGGGTTTAATGAATAATCAGGGTTTTGTCCCATGGTTGCTAGGGGTTTTGTTTCTTAGTACTCTGTTCCTTTGCAGGGCAGATGATCATTACTATGACTTCTTTGTAAGAACAATTCTTTCTGATCAGATATTTTCTTTTGAATAAAAAAGCAAAAAATAATAATTGTTTTTGGTTGCAGGTACGAGAATCAAACTTCACAAAGCTATGTAACACAAAGTCGATGTTGGTTGTAAATGACAGTTTTCCAGGGCCTGAGATTCGTGTTCACAGAGGAGACATAGTCTATGTTAATGTCCACAATCAAGGAACCTATGGCTTTACCATTCACTGGTAAATTTCTTAACCCTCATCTTAATTCAGTTTCAAAAAAAAAGGAGGAACTTAAATTAATAGAAACTTTGAATTTGCAGGCATGGTGTGAAACAACCGAGAAACCCATGGTCGGATGGCCCTGAGTTCATAACACAGTGCCCCATTCAACCAGGAACAAACTTCACTTACAAAGTTATTTTGAGTGATGAAATCGGAACTCTCTGGTGGCATGCTCATAGTGATTGGACTCGTGGTTCTGTTCAGGGCGCTTTCATTATTGAACCCGCTCAGAATGAATCTTATCCTTTTCCAAAGCCTGATGCCGACCAAACAATCATACTTCGTACGGACGTTCCTGATACATAATACTATTTGTTTCTTTTTTTTTTTGTTATATACGAAATCTTAATTTCGTTTCTTTGTTTTGTATGGACAGAGTCATGGTATAACAGAGATTTCCTGGAAATTATTACAACAGCACTTTCAACAGGACAATCTCCACCCAATGCCGATGCTTATGCTTTCAGTGGAAATCTTGGAGACACATATGGATGCCCCAATGGTTCCTTAGTTTTGATTTTGGCTTTCTTCAAATTATATTAATTTTTCGAGATTGAAACCAACAATTGTGACACATTTGTTTTATCACAGATACAATATTCCGTCTGCAAGTTGATTACCAAAAGATGTACCTTCTTCGCATAATCAATGCTGCAATGAACGAACCAAAATTCTTCAGCATCACAAACCACAGCCTCACAGTTGTTGCACAAGATGCTTCCTACGTTAAAAGATTCACAAGCGATTACATATTGATAAGCCCTGGACAAACCATGGATGTTCTGCTTTTTGCAAACCAAAACATGGGCCAATATTACATGGCAATGAGGCCTTTCTCCGACAGTGCTGCTACGCCTAGCAATTTCATCACTACGGGTATTCTTCAATATACCAACAGCGTGGGCGTGCCAAATAATAACACCATAACTCTGCCTTTGATGAATGATACAAGTGCTGCATATAACTTCACTGCCAAAATCAAGAACATAAATATCAAACAAAATCCACCCTTGGATGTGCCCCGACGGATCGATAGGCGAATTTACATTACAATCGCCACAAACGCTGTCCCCTGCACTGAATCCACTTGTGTTGGGCCTAGGAAGTTTCTTGCAAGTTTGAACAATGTCAGTTTTGATTTCCCAACTACTGATATTCTCCAAGCTTACTATAACAGGTAATTTTTATTTATACAACATCAACCCATTTCCTATTTTTCAACAAAGTTTATATATATACACATGCTGATTAGTTAATGGTTTACAATTTTTGGTATGGCAGGATTGATGGTGTTTTCACAAGAGACTTTCCTCAAAATCCCCCTGTGTTCTTTGACTTCACTGGGAACTTAACTGGGGTGAATACGAATACTACTGAAGGAACAAGGGCCGTTGTGCTAAATTACGGTGAAGCAGTTGAGATTGTGCTGCAAGCAACACAACTTGGTGCCGGTGGAAATCACCCAATCCATTTGCACGGGTTTAGCTTTTACTGGGTTGGCTCTGGTTCAGGAAATTTTAACAATGTTACTGATCCAAGGTCTTACAATCTGGTTGATCCTCCATTGATCAACACTGTTCAAGTTCGCGGTCGAGGATGGGCTGCCATCAGATTCTTTGCAAGAAATCCAGGTAAACTTTTAGTCACAAAACTGTTTGATGAAATTCCCTCGTCATCTCTTTTAAATTACAGAGTTACATATAATAATTAACTAATAATATCTGAACTATATATGTTTATAATTTTTCAGGGGTATGGTTCATGCACTGCCATTTCGAAAGGCATAGTAGTTGGGGTATGGATACAGTTTTCATTGTTAAGAATGGCACCACCCCAAAAACAAGCATCCTTCCGCCGCCGGCTTCTGGCATGCCTCGTTGTCCTGGAACATAGAATTAAGTTGCATAAGTAACAGAAATTTATTTCAAATATTGTCAATAAAGAGATTCTGATCCTCTTTCAAATACAAGCCTTGCGCCATATATAGTTCAGTCTAATTCATGTAATCCTTTCTAGGATTTTTGTAGCAATACGTGTTTGAATTCTTACCAAATTGGCCATGATATATATGTCAATTTTAATTTGTTTTTCAATAATTGGAGTATGCATTTCTGGACCCTTTTGACAAAATAATCCAAATTTCATATGAGTTGCCAATTTTTTATGTGTTTTGTTTTTTCTTAACAATAAATATCTATGAGATGAAAATGGTCGTCCTTTGACCCAGTATGCGTGATTTTGGTTAGTAGTATATCTTGTCTTGGGCCAAATTGTGTCCTATTTCACTCGACAGGGAAAAAAAAAAAAAAAAACCCATTAAAAGAAGGAGAAAATAGGACAAAAACAGATAAGTATCAAGAAAAGTCAAAAGTAGGACAATTTGGATAGGGGACGATTTTGACTCCTAATTTCGCTCTAGCCAGGGATGTTTTTTTAGGGCTAAACAACTATTTTGTCCCCTGAATTTGTAGCTTCTAGACGTTTTGTCCCCCAAATTTCAATCTTGGATATTTTACCCCCTGAACTTCAATTTTGGGACGTTTTGCCCCTTCAATCTAACGGATCTGTTAAGTCGCTGACATGGCATTGCCACGTGGCACAAAAATACCACGTGACATTGTCATGTCAGACCAACCTAACCCACGTGGCATTGCCACGTTGGACCAAACCGCTGATGTGGCAATGCCACGTCAACGATTTAACGGATCCGTTAAGTTGAGGGGGCAAAACGTCCCAACAAAAACGACTTTTATCTCTGGCAATTGCTTCTACTTCGCATTTGCATTTTTTCTTGGAGTGTGTTGGCCCGTTTCTGTCATTAGGCCGGCCCGCCTAAAGTACACGGCCGAAAACATAAGCTTATCAAGATGGGCTTGGCAAATATTCAGGTCTAATAGGAGCAAGAGCGAATAAGAGCCCATGTTAGAAGGATTAATTGCTAAGTGTCAATGACATGGAACTTAACACCAGTTGGTTATATTCCAAAATTAAGGGGAAACCGAATTTCAGAGGTTGTTTGTTACTTTTCATACAGAAACTTTCAATGGGTTCGAGAGAGTGATTTGAGGGGGAGTGACTTTAGGAAAAATCTATACATCTATACAATCTATTAAAGTTGAAAAGGAAATTATTTTTTTTCTAGCTACAAGATGTATCACTTTCACTCAAAAATAAATTGTCAAGGGTATTTCGATATTTTATACTCAGTTTTTTCGCTATTTAGGTTGACAGTCAAGGGCGTTTTGGGAACTTTGTTGAAAACTTACTATTATGGGTCCCATTCTCAATAAGCAATTTTTTTCTGAAATATTTAGCAAATGATCTATATACTTTTATGCTTTATGCTATTTAATCCCTCACAAATTCTGGGTTGGATGATTTAACGTTTCGTCTTTAATTCTTTTATTTTTTGTTCTGTTTGTCCGATCAAAGTGATTTAAGTGTCTATTTAAAGGTAATTTAATGATTTACAACTTTCATGGAGGACTCAAAAGCCAATTTTAATGTTTTGATTCTAAAAAATGCTTCTGAAATTTTGTGGTCTCGGTTGCCGGTCTATCTAATATTGTATAGTTTTCGGTCCACTTGTCCGATTGAGATTGTTCAAGTGTTGGTTAAAAGGTTATTGTCTGATCTACGACTTTCGTCAAGGGCCTGAAAGCTGAAGTTGATTAATGAGTTTCGTGGAGGGTTGAAGAGGGAATTTTTATGTTTGGTCTCCATAACTAAATATTTTTTTTGCTGGATTATTTATCAAATGATTCTCATATTTTTATACTCTATGCTATTTAATCCTTTACAATTATGGGTTGTAGAATTTAACGCTTTTGGCTTTTATTTTTGTATTTTTTAATCTATTTGTCCGATTAAGGTGATTCAAGTGTCTATTAAAAGGTAATTTTATGATCTACAACTTTCATGAAGAACTCAGAAGCCAATTTTAATGTTTCAATTATAACAAATGCTTCTAAAATTTTGTGGTTTTGATTGCCGGTCTACTTAATATATTGTATAATTTTCGATCCACTTGTCCGATTGAGGTTGTTCAAGTGTCGGTTAAAAGATTATTGTGTAATCTACGACTTTCATTAAGGGCGAACTTGAAAGCTGAATTTGATTAATGAGTTTCATGGAGAGTTCAAAAGGAAATTTTTATGTTTCGTCTCAATAAACTAATATTTTTTGGCTGTATTATTTATCAAATAACCCTCATTTTTTTAACTTGATTATTATTCGAAGTATATGTTACGTATGTAAATAAACAAATAAAAAAAATCAATCCGTGTAAAAACATTAATGAATCGACATTTTTTTTTCTCCTCAAAATATCAATTGTGTATTACAAAGAATATTATCTCAATTATTGCTTTTTGTTCATTCATTTCACAACCCCGTCGCGAAGCAGCATTGGTTCATAAGAGTGTTCTAGAGTTCTATTTTCTGTCAACACTCCCCATCTTCTCCACAATACCTGCTTTTCCTACCAGTTTCGTTACAATGTGGTCTTACTCTCCCAACTTACAACATATAATCACTATTCATAGCATATACTTTTTTGATCAAAATATATAACTCTATTATTGAAAATTAGAGAATTACAACGCCGGGTATAGTCCCGCACCACACATTATCCAGCTTGGAAACAGCTAATGAATGTGCAACACTATTAGCTTCTCTGTTTACAAATTGAAAAGAACAACAATCAAATAAAGAAGCAATTTCTCTAATTTCCTCAATCAAAAGGCCCCCTTCCCATAAAACAGTTTCTTTTTTATTGATTTCATGAATAGCCAAAAGGGAGTCGCTTTCAATAATACACCTAGTAATCCCATGCTCCAAGGCTAGTTCAAACCCAAAGAGGATAGCATGTACTTCCGCATGAAGTGAGTCCGCAACAAAGAAGAGTATTCTGGCACCACTTACTAAAATCTTTCCCTCATAATCTCGGATTACGACCCCGAGGCCAGCATCCCCAGTAGATGAAGAAAATGAAGCATCGGTGTTAATCTTCCATGTACCTGGTGAAGGTGCAATCCACTCCAATTCTCTTTGCTGCCTCTCTAAACCTCTATCTCGTCGAATAGCTACAACAATGAAATAATTTACCGATTTCACAAGGGCAGTAGGCATAGCACACGTTAGCTCAAATACAGCCCGATTTCTATTACTCCACAATAGCCAAATCGTATAGAACAACTTCTGTAATTGGCCTACTGTAGTAGCTTTTGCAAACAAAAAAACCCACAAATCTGAATCAGAATCCAATTGATCAATAAAGGGTAACACCCAGGGGCAACTCTCATTCCAAACCACTAAAGCAAAAGGACAAAAAAAGAAAGTATGGAGAGTCGATTCCTCCATGCCACCACATACATCACAATTTGCTCCCAAATTCATTCCTCTCAAGTTCAGATTATATTTATTAGGCAGAATATTCCATACTACACTCCATACAAAATATTGTACCTTTGGTAACACATTAGCACTCCAAATATATCGCCATTTGTGTGTCCTACCCTCCACCGGCAACTCAGGTCTTCCCATCACCTTCCTCGCAACATGGTAGGCTGAACTAACTGTGAAATTACCAAGCCTAGCCGCACTCCATATCAAACGATCCTGCACCTGCTGCCTTGGAATCACAATACTAAAAATACGGGCAACATCTTCCTCTGTAAAAATATCCAACACCTCTTCATAGCGCCAAGACCAATTCTCAAAATCTATCAATTCCGAGACTGTAATATCAGGCATATTGGCCACATTTTTCGACAATGGTTGGAAAGTGGGAGGTTTATTGATCCACTTATCCCTCCATATATTCAATTCCCCCGAACCAATGCGATACCGAGACCCTACATCAATTACTCTCTTCCCTGCAACCAAACTCCTCCAAAGAAAGGATGGATTTGATCCGAGTTGAGCTTGCATGAAATTCCCCCTTGGGTAATATTTCGCTCTAAGAAGCCGAGCACATAAAGACTCTGGGTTTTGCAGTATCCTCCATCCTTGTTTCGCAAGAAGGGCCAAATTAAAAGATTCAAAATCTCTGAATCCTAAACCCCCATCTAGTTTAGAGACACATAGTGATTCCCAATGCTTCCAATGAATTTTTCGTTGACTACTTGAATCACCCCACCAGAATCTTGAAATCATAGCATTAAGCTCCTGTACAAAGGACTTAGGGAAAAGAAAAACACTCATAAGATAAACTGGGATTGCCTGTGCCACTGCTCGTATCATAACTGCTTTTCCAGCTGAAGAGAAAATTTTTGATCTCCAACCCGATATTCTCTTCTGGAGACGATCCTTAATATAACGAAACTCCCTGCATTTAGATATGCCAATCATAATTGGAAGACCCAAATATTTATCATTGTCAAGCACTCATTGAATACCAAGAAAAGCCATTATATCCTCTCGAACCCCTATTGACGTATTAGCACTGAACATAATAGAGGACTTATCAATATTTATTTTCTGGCCTGAAGCAGCTTCGAACCTATCTAACACAGAGAGTACTTCTTCACAATCGCTTCTAGAGGCTTTTAAGAACAAAATACTATCATCTGCAAAAAATAGATGAGTCACTTTTGGAGCAGATCTCGCCACAGACACACCTTGAATTTTCCCTACCGCACTCGCCGACTGAATCATACTAGAGAGACCTTCCATGCATAATAGGAACAAATAGGGTGAAAGAGGATCACCTTGTCTAATGCCCCTAGTTGGATAAAATACCTCACCACTTTGGTCATTAACAATAATTGAATAAGATACAGATTTCACACACTGCATAGCCAAAAAAATCCATTTAGAGGGAAAACCCATCACTCTCATTGTTTCCTCCAAAAACACCCATTCAACACGGTTATATGCTTTACTAAGGTCCAATTTCAGCGCCATATGACATCGTCGCCCTTGTCTTTTATTTCTCATGAAATGTATTGTCTCGAAAGCAATCATGGCATTGTCGTATATCATTCTTTGGGGGTACAAAGGCACTTTGATTCTCCCCAATAATATTTGGAAGAATACCCTTAAGCCTGTTAGCCAAAGCTTCGGAAACAACTCTAAAAATCACATTACAGAGACTTATGGGACGAAAGTCCTTACCAGTTTTCGGATCATCAATTTTTGGAATCAAAACCACATTCGTATGGTTTATGTCTGGTAAAGGAGTATTCGAATTGAGAAAAGCAAGAGCAAAATTAACAACGTCCTTACCCACCACCGACCAGCATTTTTGGAAGAATGCTGGTGAAAAACCATCCGGCCCTGGTGCCTTCGACCCGCCCATTTGAAAAACCGCCCGCTTAATCTCCTCGACTGTAAAGTCCGCCTCAAGTACATTCCTCATGTCCGCCGAGACCCGACATTCCAAATGCTGCACAACCTCCTGAACCGCTGCCGGAGTCGGATTTGAAGATGTAAAAATCTCCTTGAAATGTCTCGTAATTACCACCCCAATCGCCTTTTGATCATAACTAAAATTCCCCCCATCATCTTGAATAGATTGGATACTCTTCTTTTGCCTATGCGATGAAGCTAAAGCATGAAAAAAACGCGTATTCCTATCCCCTACTTCCAACCAATGGGCTTTTAAGCGTTGCCTCTATAACAATTCCTCTTGATTCAGCAAATTATTCAACTCCAACTTGCATCCTTCCACCTCATCTTGATTACCCTCTGTGCCTTGAATAAACAGCTCCTCATATTCTCTTTTCTTGGCCGCTATATTGCGTTGCAGATTCCCAAAGACCATACAATTCCACTTCTCCAACTGAATACGACATTTTTCTAACTTCGTGGAAATATTAAAATCACCATCAGGCCATGCTTGGTTAATTGCAGACTCAAAAGTGGAATGAGCTGTCCACATCTGTTCAAATCTAAATGGCTTTTTCTTTGTCCTTTGATTAATGGGTTGGGCCGATATAGTTAAAAGAAGAGGCAAATGATCTGATTTAGTTGAAATAAGGTGCTTTTCAATTGAAAACTCAAACTTCTCCCACCAGGCGACATTAGCAAAGCTACGATCAAGACGTTCATAGATAAAATGGCCATTAATTTTTCGAGACCAGGTCATCCTTGGTCCTACTACCGGTAACTCACGAAAAGCACATTCATCTATAACCTCATTAAAAATATCCATTTGTCGAACCGGTCTAAGCCCTCCACCATCCTTTTCCGAGTTGTTTGTAATATCATTAAAATCCCCAGCACAAAGCCAAGGAAGAGAGAACTGTAAATTAAGAGACCTTAGAAGATCCCAGGATTCATGCCTCCTACTAGTCTCAAGTCTTCCATAAAAACCAGTAAATCTCCATTTATCAGAAGTGCCAATTGAAACATCAATATGCCAAAACGAATAAGACAAAAGGGAAATGCATTCTTCTTTTTTCCATAACAAGGCCAGTCCACCTGACCTACCATTACAATCAACAGCAAAACAATAATCAAAACCTAAACGAACTCTAATCAACTCCATTTGCCTACTAGTTCGTTTTGTTTCAGAAAGAAAAATAAAACGGGGATTATTACATTTAACTAACTTAGAAAGAGAATAAACTGCTCGAGATGCCCCGAGACCTCGGCAGTTCCAAACAAGACAATTCATGGGTCTCGGCCGAGATGGTTTTTGACCACCCCTGCCGTTGCAGTTATATTATCCTCCACACCTGGATTCTCTGCCAATAGAGCTTCATTGACATCCGGATTAGAGCCACCGTCACCATCCACTTCCATATCATTTTCCCTGGATTTTTTCAGAACACTCCCACTAGAGTTAACATTACGAATAACAACACAAGAAAAGCGTTTGGTACCAACCTTGAAAGATGGTTCATGACAGAAGAGATCACAAGAGTATTTATCAGAAACCCGAGCAGCTTGCTTCCATTTTCGAACACGCCTAATAGGCGCAGCCTTAGCTCCAAAAACAAAAGGAGAAGCAGGATCATATCCCTCTGTTGTTGGTTCCACAGTCGTACCATTCAGACCCAACCCTATATTATCCAAACCTGCATCAATCTCATTAGAACCCAACTTCTTAATGGATCCTACATCATAAATTCCTTCCTTGGATAAGCCCAATTCCGTTGGCCCAACCCCTGGAATGATAGGATTATGATCAGGCCTATTAAAAGCAGCCCAAATACCGTTTGAAGAAAAAGAAGAGGAGGAATCGGAACTCTCAGTAGGGGAAGTATTCCCTAACGGAATAAAAGAATCTCCTCCTTTCTCGGCAGCACCTACAACCTCTTTCCCCTTTCTACTCGGTCCACCAACCTGCATTTCCCCCTTTAACGGAGTTGTTACCGAATTTCTAGGAGACATCGAACCGACATTCCGACGCTGAGCAACTTCCTCCACTCCCTGCAGAATCGGGGCCTTTGCAACCACCCTATCATCCATTTTTGAAATAATCTCGCAACTAACATCCTCATAGACCAACGCACGTGCCACTCTTCTATTATTGAGCAGCATACTATCCACGTGTCTGCGAAATGGGCTGCCCACGCTGGCACCAGTCTTTGCCGGCACCGACTGGCTGCCTTGCCGGTTAGCAGCACGACCATCCCTTCTCTGTCTCTGACCTGGAGTAACAGATGTTCTCCCCATCACAAAAGAAGTATTCGACCTATCAGGCTTGTATTTTTGAATGGCAAAACCAGTCTCCAACTTCATTGCCACCGATACAACACACTCAGTCTCTTGATGATCAATAAGACCGCAAACCCAACAATAATCGGGTTTTTTCTCATAATCAAAGGTGACTTCTGATTCCCCATCTGGAAAGGAAAGAGTTGATTCCAGCTTTAAGGGGCACTGCAAATCCATATCAACCCTTATTCTCAAATATCGCCCTGAAGTAGCATCCACATCCAACACCCTACCCATTGTTTCACCCACTACAATCCCCACTCTCTAATTCATCAATTGAAAAGGCACACCCGACACCTTCACCCAAAAGGCCAAAACGGAATGTATCAAACGTAAACGTATCAGGATGTTGAACACCATCAAATGCCCGCAGCACCAGTAGAGCTTTGTGAAATAACCAAGGTTGAGAAACTAAGACTCTGTCACGATCAAGAACATCAGGGAATTGGAAAACAAATAGCCGCTCACCAACTTCCCTCACAATAAGGTCACCTTTAATCTTCCAAATTTGCTGGAAAACAGCCCTTAAATCCCCCGCCGTGGCCGGTTTCTGCAGTAACAATTTTCCAATCAAATAAGCGCCACCTACCTCACCCTCCGGAGCCTCCACCCATTCCCCATTGATGATGATTTTCTCCTTCTGCTCTTCCTGGATCGAAAGCCTTGAACACATACGTGTCAGAGAAGCACCTGCCATAATTGGATCTGATTTTGCTAGACCAAACTCACAAACAGAAAGAAAAGGGAAGGAAGGACCTTTTGAGAATGCAAAAAGATAATAAAGAAATTGTGAATTTTTGAAAAAAGAGGCCTGGAAAATATAATCTGCCATACGAATCCCAATCCGATAAGAGATTTGATTTCTAATTTGAAATTTAGATATAGAACAGTTGCTCCAAATCTTATCTGTAGCATCCTTAAGAAATTCAAAATGAAGATCTAAGAAAAAATCACTGTTTAGAAACAGGCCGACGACGCCACTAGGGTTTCCTAGGGGAAGTTTAGAAAAAGAGGTGATCATATGTGTCATATTTTCATACCACATTTTTCTACTATAATACCAAACCCACAAACAGGTAACTAAATGACCATTTTATTATCAAAATAAATAATGGGAGATGATTATTTTTTTAAAAAAATCGATTCATAGCATATACTTAAGTCTAAAAAAACACCAACTAAATATTTTACTTATATCTATTGCAAATATATATATAGTTTTAAATATATATATATATATATTTTACTTATATCCTTTTTATACTTCGCATGTTCATAACCTATACAATTCAAATTACAAAAGCTATCAAATGAATCGACAATAAAAATAATTATGCAAAATTAATTACCATTAAAACTTATAGCTAAATGTTCATATCTAACTATTCTTTCCTTTCACAACTCCGTCTCGAAGCGCGGGTTCTGTGGCTTAGTAATAATTAAAATTCATGAAAAGTAGTTTTAATGGTTTGGTTTATTAGCGGTTTTCTTAGAAAATAATCCAATTTTTATGAGATTTACACTTTTCACGGGGTGAGAAAAAACATTTTCTACACCCTCCATGTGAAAGTTTTTTCCGACCAATCCGAGAAAGTTAGGTGCACTTAAAAATTACTTTCTCACCTAATATAATCTAACCAAACCATAAAAAGTCTTTTCACCCTACTTTCTGTTAGGCCCTCGATTTAGTGCTAATGGGGGTGAATAGCAACTTTTAAGTGTTTATGGTAAGGTCAAGAACTTTTGCAAGTTTGGGTTTAATGTAAGGGAAAAGAAAGAAATGAGTTGGGTTGGAGAGTGAATGCACCACAAAGTAAGAATAGGTTTAAAGAAGATGAAAACACAATCAATTTATAATGGTTCGGTGATCCCGCACCTACATCTGCTACCTTCATTTTCCCAATAAAAATTTTCACAACAAACTAAACCGATGAAATTAATAGCTTTCACCAAGCATTTACACTGTGAGCTTCTCCCAACCCAAGGTTCAGTCTTCAGTACAAGTGAAATTTCACTAAATGCAAGCTTTACCCAACTTGCTCTACCTAAGAAAAGATGAAATAAAGAAGTACAAATGATCTCTTAAAGATCCCAAGTACAAATTTAAGCTCAAAGTGTTTCTCTCTCAAAGATAGTAGAAATGATGAACAAAGAGATTTGGCCAAAAAAAAGAACAAAGAGAATAAATTTTTCTTCACTTGGTCCTTGATGTATGGAGTGCTTCCTCTTTCTTTCTTGTTGTGAATAAGCTTTTAAGACCTCTATTTATAGCTAGAGTAAAAAACTAGTCGTCGGACTTGATTTGATGCATATTGCCTCCTTTTGATTTTCGAAAAAAACTAGTCGCTATACTTTTCACTGGCAGCTCTAGACTGTTTCAGTCGAAAGAAATGGCACTGTAGCATTTTGGCAAATTCAACACTTCCAATCTTCAGCTTTCCATCGATGTTTCAGTCTACTGAAAATTCTTGACTTCCAATTTTCATTAATTTGAATTTCTTTGAATATTTCTTCATGAAATTTCATTTAAGCCTTCTCCAATCATAATTATAACCTTCAATAGATATTCAATTACTTCTCCAAACTTAATATTAAACTCCAAGGTGAAGATTGATCAATAAAATTTTCCTTTTTCAATTGATTATTCATATTGATCTTAGTATCCTAATTCGTATCGAGAGGCAAACTTAAAATGAAATCTAAGTGAGCTCAATTCTTTAAAACTCAAATTGGACTCCACCAATCCTTTGTCAATCTAAATTCGATTTTCTCTTAAGCACTTGATCTTCGAATTCCATCAGTATTAAACCTTTACCTCCACGAATTCGAATCTCTTTTCTTCTTTTCAACCCTTGCTATTCTAATCCATCAATCTTCAAATTTGGCCCATATGAATTCAAATATTTTCTTTTCTCTCCAAACTTTTATCCAACTCTTCAAACCTTGGCCTTCTAACTTATCATTCTTCAAATTCGGCATGTATAAATTCGAATCACTCCCATACTTGATCAAGGTAATAGCTAGACTTGATTTTTCTCTTGGGGACTTGAATTCACAAATAAACATTAGCTTTCCCTAACAAACTCAAGTAAATTTGTTAGACACACATATGTAGAATGTTTTATTATCATCAAAAACATATGAAGTCAACACTTTCCAGAAAAAGTAATCCAAATTAAGCTAAACAAATGCCCTGATCAAGCAACAATTGTTATCATTTGAAGGATCTTCAAATGGAAAAGGTAATTGCAAGATCACCCCAACAAGTACAAATAGGAGGAAATTTGATGTAGAAGGTAGTTGGCGAATTTCGGACAAAAATCTCAAATTGCATAGTTGTTAGAATATAATAATGTTATTAAGAGTAGTGTTCTTATTTTTCTTTTTGCTACTCTTAGGAGTAGTTTGCAATGTTAGAAGTCCTTATAATTTTTCTTCAAAAAAAGAAAGAGAAAAAGAATAAAAGAAGTCCTTGGAATTCTCAAATAAAATCTGAGATCATCCTGTCTTAAATTTATTAAATTCATATTACTATAATTTGACATTGACAATTCCCATCCAAAAAAAAATTCAATTTTACACATCAAACAATTTGGCATGACTGCTGGGGCATTATAGAAATTGATGCATTATACCACCAAAAACCGTACAGAGTGCAAATGAGGGAGAAGAGATTTATGTCTCAAAACCTCATGAAGAAAATAATCCAGAAGTAAGGAATGATCGAGAAGCGAGGGTAACCAATGAGTCTATGTCAAGAGCGCTGTAGAGGTTGATGGAACAAGTGGAGAAAACTCAAGTTCAGATAGAGGTCACAAATGCTAAGGTAAATGCTACTATTAATCATAATAAGTTGATCGGTCCGCGCTAGTGCTACGGGCGTTCCTTTTTTAGAATCATTATTTATTACTCTAAACATATTAAAAAAATTTCTCTGTAAATATAAGAATTTCTTGAAAATATAGTCTTTCATTAAACATATTAGTTAATTTGCCCGCGCTACGCCGTGGAATTATAGTGAGTGCTTCCATAAAGATTTCAAAAATAGGGAGTATCTAATAAGAAACCGGGAATGAACAGTATGTAACTATTAATAAAAACAAAATTAATAAAAAAAAATTGAGAAAAAAGACGGCCACCAAACAAAATCTCACTTAAACCGAATCAATGTTGATGCAACTAATGGAGGTAGCTTGACACTCAAGAGTCCTGAAGAGGCAAGAAGATTGCTAAATACCATGGCCGAGAGTATCTTCCAATTCAGCATGACGAACAAACACTCATCACCCAAAGTGTCAAATCAAGAATTTCTTTGCGAAATGAGAGAAGGCGTGAATCATTTGAATTTAGTCGTCTCTACTTTGACTCATCAACAAAGAACCATTACCAACATAATTGGGTCTCAATCCAAAGGGGGAACCAGTTACCATATAAAATTTGGCAATCACCTTTGGATATGACTCGAGGAGGCATGAACAATCTTGGTTACGCAAGTGAGTTGAACAATATGAAGGGATACGAAGCCAACATTAGTGGAATTGGAGGAAGCTAACCGTGGTATGTGAGGGAGATGGAGCCACCCTCTTTTTCATTTCCTTCTTCAGAGTCACCACCGTATTCACATACCTCCCTCACATCTCAAACGATGCCATCACTAATTGCTATACCTCACGTGCAAGCACCAAGTGATGGAAGCTTCATTTCGAAAACTCTTAAGGAGAAAAGAGCGGTAGCCAAGAGTGCACAAAGACATGATGAGTCAAGATCGAAGCAACATTGTCATGGAAAGAACCAACCCATTCTAAACCATGTTATATGAGTAAGATGGGTAACTTTCATGAAGTTGCTGAATTCCCAATTACGAAAGAAGTTGAAGAAGTGTCAAGCGACACAATGGATGGTTTGGAACCATATAAGCTTGATTCGCAAGACTCTAGCCAATTTTCTTCAATGATGAAGATGATGAGGCATGCATGGTCTGCGTCCCTAATCTAGCAAAGGAGGTTCCCAAGATTATGCAAGAGGAAAGAGAAGCACCGAAAGAACACATTGAGATGGATATCCCTCCATTTTCTCCTCCAAGATTTGCCAAGCGCAAGAAAGAGCCACCAAACGATGAGCAACTCGAACATCCTGGAGAATTAAAAGAGAGAAGTTTGCTCAAATTTGTTGACAACCAACTTTTGGAACATGAAGATCCAGATTTATTTGGAATCAACAAGTTTCTTGAACATGGATGCTATGGAGAGATCAAAAACGAGGAATGGATATCCATGGATCAATTCTTCTTGGAGGATGTGAAAAATTGCCAAGACGAGGACACCTCCAAAGGCAAGAATGGAGCAATGCCAATCAAGAATGCTGAAAGCACCGTTTGCATCAACCTTTCTCGGCAACAAAAATGGCATTGTCATTCCTAGCTATTCACTGAGTCGCTCTCGACAAAATTGGTGATTTATTTCCTTATCTCCTATTGCCTTTCATAATTTTGTGCTCATATTTTTCTAATCCCACTGTATCTGTTTTTTGCTTTGAAGTGGTATGATCCATCCTAACGAAGCGAGAAGGAAGAAAGTCTAGCCAAAGACATTAAACAAAGCCGCTACTTGGGAGGCAACCTAAGGATTTAAATTATCAACTTTTTCTTTCATTTCTTTTTCTTTTCATAGATTTCGAATATTTTGCATTTTCATGTTT